ACAATTACATCTACAGGTAAAAACTCAGGTGAAAAAAATCTTGATACCATTCAAGCTCCATTCAAAATGACTTCGATCTAGCCATCCTTGTTGAACTAAGCTTTTCACATATTTCAACAATGAAACCATTTTTAAATGACCCAATAATGAACTTAGTTTTATTCAGTGCACACCGACCAATACACAGCCTTCTGCTATCACTGTCAGCCGATTTCAGTGAACTATTGTTATCCGTTTTAACACCTCGAGTGACAATACGTCGCTTACGTCGTCAACAGTGGAGCGAACAGGACCTCCATAACGGGTATTATCTTTTCTACGTGTTGCATTAATTTGGGCACATTAGTTGATCTGCTTATTCAAATAACAGACTAATACTTAGTATTAACAGCAGTAGCATAAGACATCGATCTAACTTCCGAAACACGATAATCTTTCGGCACTGAACATGCTGCCTTTCAACCATTTAGAGCCACCAATTTTTGTCTGATCCCTATATTTCATTACAACATAATTTAAGTGACTCATAACATTAAAATCCCAGTACTTAACATTGACACACTTGGTGTGGTATTTCAGCCACCATACATAACACGAAATAACAGTATTTTCAATCTTGTAGGACTTTCTCTTCGTAACCTTAGAAGTCTCCACCAGTCGCCATCTCTACTGCTGTTAATAATGTTAATCCTAATCAGTACTACTTTTACTTCTGCTAAATGACGCTGCTAGTGACATTCTTATTTTTCACAGGCTAAATTACCCGTCTTATGTCCGGGGTCCATAAAGATTGAATGTAAGGCTTGAACTAATAAATTAAATCAATAATTTGTAATCCTATGCATAATTTATTCCACACATAATTTACTTTACAACTACTTTATTTCACACATAATTTACTTTACAACTGCTTTATTTCACATAATTTACTTTACAACTACTTTATTTCACACATAATTTACTTTACAACTGCTTTATTTCACATAATTTACTTTACAAGTACTTTATTTCACACATAATTTACTTTACAACTACTTTATTTCACACATAATTTACTTTACAACTACTTTATTTTATACAGAAGTCCATTTTTAATAGTTATGTCTGTCAGTTTCTTTCCTAAGCAGACATATCACCACAGACTCAAATCTATATCTGTTGCTTTGCTTACTTCTTTTTGCTGTTAGCCCACAGAAGGTTTTCTAGCATTATGGAAGCTACAAACCATCACAATGGAGAGTTTTATGGATCACGCATAGAGCAACGATTCGCGACTTTTTACTATTATTAAGCTGTCATTACTTCATCCTATTTAATTTGACGTTAAGTATATTTTGTATTGAAGTCAGGATGCATAAAAATGCAATATAATGTCCTACCAAGTCGATGAATGAAGAAACATTTCCGGTCATATCATTCACCCATTGTTAAATCCAGTATCATCCAGTTCTGCACAACAGAACTTAAAACATCATTCAATGTTTTGAACAGACTGGCTATCCTTCCAATTACATCACAGATAACGTAAAAAACACCAGAACAAAGACAACAAATCTGAAAAAGTTTACGTCACTTGCATGCAGAACTTAAGTGAGAAAATAAGATGCGTTGCCAGAAAATTCAACTTTGACTGGAAGTCTTACAGAACACTCAGATCAAAACTAAACAAACAACAGCTCACAAAAAAAAACATTATTTATTAACACCACACTTCTGTAAAGAAACCTTCATTGGAGAGAAAATAAGATATTTTGTGATAAGAATGAAAACAAATAAAGATTGATGAAACCTCGGAATTCTTCCGTTGAAGAACATATAGTGTTAACAAGACACAAACTAGACTGAGAAAATTACAAACTCAGAAAGATAAATCAAGGAGTCTTTCTATGTTAAAACGATAAAGCCCTCACCCAATAGAGACTCGGGTAAAGAAAGCAGCATTGGTCAGTAACTCACGTGGACACAATATTAACCTTTGCAGTCTGAGACCAGTTGACCTGAAGATGAAAGGTGTAAGCTTTTCGGAACGTTGTCCAATCTACTTATGAAACCTTTATAACTTTTATTTCTCCGAGATTGTCTCTACATTTGTCTCACCTCGCCTTTGTTTAACTGATCACTAATACACTGTATAAACCATCTATAAAGAAGCCTTCCAAGTCGTGTAAGTATCAGTACTGTAAGTTATGTATTTTGGGCTTTTCTTTGCAAACATAAATTGTATAATCAAATATATTAAACCAACACGTACTAGAGCACATAAAGAGTATAACACACGTTTTGTTTTATCTAACCACTACGATACTCAGTTGGTCACAGATAGTTAGTAACCGAAGATTAAAAACTGTGAAATTAAAGCGCTTTTCCATTGTATTGACATTTTGGCAATGCCAGATCTAAGAGTCAAAGAACAATTTTTATTAAACTCTTAAGATGTCACTTCAATAATTACTTACTTGCCAGTGTTTCTTAAAAATTATTATCTTCTTTCTTCACCACCACTTCTACCAACCTTGCTTAATTAGCTAATTGTAGGGTGGCTCTTACATTTGTGATGTTACTAACTGTGGGATGGCTCTTACCTTTGTGATGTTACTAGCTGTGGATTGACTCTTACATTTGAAATAACACTAGCTGTGGGATGACTCTTACATTTGTGATGTTACTAGCTGTGGATTGACTCTTACATTTGAAATAACACTAGCTGTGGGATGACTCTTACATTTGTGATGTCACTAACTGTGGAGTGACTCTTACATTTGTGATGTCACTAACTGTGGAGTGACTCTTACATTTGAAATGACACTAAATTATAGGGTGGTTCTAACATATGTGATGTCACTAACTGTGGAGTGACTCTTACATTTGAAATGACACTAAATTATAGGGTGGTTCTAACATATGTGATGTCACTAACTGTGAGTGACTCTTACATTTGGCACATACGTTAGAACCACCCTATAATTTAGTGTCATTTATGTCACTAACTGTGAAGTGACTCTTACATTTGAAATGACACTAAATTATAGGGTGGTTCTAACATATGTGATGTCACTAAATGTGGAGTGACTCTTACATTTGAAATGACATTAAATAAAAGGGTGGTTCTAACATATGTGATGTCACTAACTGTGGAGTGACTCTTACATTTGAAATGACACTAAATTATAGGGTGGTTCTAACATGTGATGTCACTAACTGTGAAGTGACTCTTACATTTGAAATTACATTAAATTATAGGGTGGTTCTAACATATGTGATGTCACTAACTGTGGAGCGACTCTTACATTTGAAATAACACTAAATTATAGGGTGGTTCTAACGTATGTGATGTCACTAACTGTGGAGTGACTCTTACATTTGAAATGACACTAAGTTATAGGGTGGTTCTAACATATGTGATGTCACTAACTGTGGAGTGACTCTTACATATGAAATGACACTAAATTATAGGGTGGTTCTAACATATGTGATGTCACTAACTGTGGAGTGACTCTTACATTTGAAATGACACTAAATTATAGGGTGGTTCTAACATATGTGATGTCACTAACTGTGGAGCGACTCTTACATTTGAAATGACACTAAATTATAGGGTGGTTCTAACGTATGTGATGTCACTAACTGTGGAGCGACTCTTACATTT